CCCTACTCGATCCTGTTTCTGGAGGAGCAGCCCGCCTTGGTCCAAGTAGCCCGGGCGACAAGCCCCGTGCCCGCTCCCCTCTGGGTGGAAGGAAGGAAGGAGCCTCTACTCACAGGCAGAGTGCTGCAAGAGCAGCAGGGGCCAAGGGAAGGCGCGACGGTACCCCAGCATGGTCGCGGCGGCAGAGGCAGTGGGGCGCTTTCAGTTTCGATTCCTCTGGCAAACCCACTCCACGCTGCTCTCGGGAGATCCGGGAAGCCGCCGCCAGCAGGAGCAGACAGAGACCCGAGCGCAGCCGCGATGCAGAAGCCCGCTCACACGAGAACGCGGCGCTGCTGAGCTCTGTGGAAGGCAAACACTTGCACGCCTCTCCCGGCCCGACAGTCCCTTATTCCGTTGTCCTTTTTTGTTTGCTTTCCCCGGGCAGCCTTTTCGCTGCAGCGCGCACGGCTTTTGGAAAGCGCGATTGCTGCGCTGCTGCTGCTAACGCCCACAAGAAGTTTGTTATTTCCTCGCAGGAAGCCGCGGGGTGGGCGAGGCTGCCTGCTACGCTTCTCGGGTCTGAACTGCACCACCGTGCCCCGGGAGACCGACCGCCTGCTTGCATATGGACCTGGCTCCCGATCCAACAGATTGGGAAACGGTTGCCCGCTGGGGTGGACCGTCGTTGCCGGACAGCCAGGCGATCGAAGGGGCTTCAAGTTATTTCATTGTGTTGCCTAGTGTCAGAGTAGGATAAGGGAGAAGCAGATTCAAATCCCCACTCCTGCCATGGAAACTTGGTGGGTGACTTGGGGCCAGTCACATGCCTTGCAGCTTCTAGCCTGCCTCACAGGGTTGTTGTGAGGATACAACAGGGAAGTTATGTAAGATACTTCGGGTCCCCCTTGAGGGAAAAGGTGGGATATATATGAAGTAAAATATTGATTAAAAATAAAATAAAAACAGTGTCATAGATGGAACATGAAATTGAGCAAACTTCAGAGGACAGCGGAAGACAGGAAGGCCGGCGTGATCTGGTCCATGGGGTCGCGAAGAGTCGGACTCGACTGTGCAACTGAACAACAACGAAAAAATTGATACAATAGAAAGTAGCAGTAGAAAAGAGTCCAATAGCACCTTAAGGACTAACAAAATTTGTGGCAAGGCAGGAGCTTTCATGAGCCCATCCTTTCTTCACATACAGCTCTAATGTGAGTCCATCTATCCGTGTATCTTAGAGAGTGGAGTGATTTCAAATGGCAAATTAGGTTAGCAGGCAAATGACAATAGCAGGTGTGATTGGATTAGACATGATATGCAGCGGGGTAGTAGGCATGGAGAAATCAGCACTGATAATGAGACAGGAAGCCTAGGTCTCAATTCAGTCCAGGAGGATGCATTGTCTTGAGCTTCATTATCAGTTGCATTTCAGCAATCTCTTTTTGTAATCTCCCTTTTCAGTTCCTTTGTAAGAGAATTGCTACTACTAGGTCAGCAACTGAATATCCTGGAAGGTTACATTGTTCCCTGACTGGTTTTGGAGAGTTGTGGTTTCTGATGTCAGCATAGACTCATCCAGCAACTTTCGATAGCAGACTGGGAGATCTGAACCTGGGTCTCTCTAACCACTATGCCAAACCAGCTTTTTACATGCTGCAGTTCTGGAACTGTGTTTTGAACTGTGACTACCTCCTTTTAAAAAAATATATGTTTAATTAGAAGGACAAATACTTTCTTGGCTTTTAAATCAGTGGCAGACAGGCTGTTTGCAAAAAAATTGAATATACCATTGAGGCCCTTTGAGGACAGGCAGAGTATATGTTATAACATTTAAAAAATAAATATCCATCTGTGACAAATTGAATGGACCCAGCCACTTACTATGGTCTGTCATTGAGTACCACTTTTCCCTGCTGGAGCAAACAAATCTACAGCCAGACAGTATATAACTAAGAAATGAGAGATGGTATTTGGAAATAGTACCCCTTGCCCGAGACTTCCCTGGCATCTCAGCTATTTTGAGGCTGGCTGTGGTTAAGGATGAGAACCGAAGGCCCTTTGTCCATTCTCAGGGGCATTCTTCTTTATCACATGGCCAGGAAAAAAAGTAGACTAAGGTCCCATTCACACGGAGCATTTGCCATGCTAAAGATATGGATGATAGGCGGATTTTCCGGGCGTGATCACACCGCAACATCTGGGAAGCGTAGTGCACCTGTGGCTTCTTGCCGAAGATACGGAGTAAAAAACTAGTACATACGATGTGCTAATTTCCGGAAAACATGGCGCAAGGGCGGGCGTCTGATCGAGTTTCCACTGGAATCCCATGGCATCCGGTGCCCGCCCATGTCCCGTCGCAAACCGGATGTTGTTGTTTTTTAAAGTCTCCACAGGATGCGCACAAACGATCATGCGCATGCGCAAACTTCTGTGAGACAAAACTGTGGTGAGGGGGGAAAATCCCATTTGCCATGGAAGCAGCGCCTAGCGATTGCCAGTGTGATCGCACCACGCCTCTTCTTTGCCACGCTGCAGGATAGCCGTATGATCGGCACCTAACGGCATACCCACGGGACCTCCACGGGACATGTGATTGGGCTGCTGCGCGTTACCCCCCGCATTTTCTGGCCCATGTGACCGGGACCTAAGAGGGGCCACTGATCGCCTCTTGTCCAATTAACCCACAAAATATCAAAACTTCAGTGAGGAAACAGGTAAGCAACAGATGGTCCAAGAAGACACCAGAGTTAAATGGAGCATTTTTTAATTGTACAAGACATGTGAGCTTGCCAAAGCAGGCCACAGTGAGGGAAATAAAGTCAGGGAAGAAACCTGTTGTCTGGGGCAGAACTCCATGGCAACTTTCCCACAGTATGAATATATATACAAAAGCCACATTCCACAGAGAAATCCATCAACCGAGACAGACAATATGCATTTTTCCCCAGAGGGCTGAAGGCACTTTGAAAAAGAGATTGCTGTACATCTGCACACTCTTCAGATTTTCAGAGCAGTAAACCTTTAATCTTGACTTTGGATTCTGTGTCCACTTTACTCACCATTCTTTTTCCTCCAGTGTACTTATTCTGCAGCTACAATCAAAACAACACACTTTTCTTAATCGGGGTGGAGCGTCACTTGTGACGTGTGGGGGGTGGCGTTCAAAGTCTTTTTAAAAAAATGTATGCAATTGCCCTATTGCAGTTGCGCAGTAGCATCCAGCAAGCACGTCCATTAAAATCCTCACGGTTCAGGTTTTGCACATTCATTTTAGCGTTAGTTCACTGAATGAAAGGAAGGCAGGCAAAGGGAGGGAAACCCACTGTTGAAACAGGCCCTTGCCCAGCACTAGGAGATTCTCTGCTGTGTTATCAGCCACTGTGAAAAATGGTAATCACACGATCTCCTAATATGGGGGAACATGTTGAGTGTACAAAATGCATGGTAGAACCCACTGACTGATTCTCTAATTTGAACCTGCACAGTGGTTGTTACTTTGGCAGTTTTTTAAAGCCTGTCCTGTGCGCATTGCACTCTTCCTCCAAATGGATTGATCCCAAGCGATTCTTAAGTTCAGCGGTTCACAGAAGATCCATGTGGCTCAGCCGCCATTTTAAAGTTAGGCTTCTAGAGACTGCCAAAATGGTCCCCCGCAAACTTTGTTCACTAAAGCATTAAAGGGAAAAATGTTTTCAAAGGTTTAGGCTTCCCACCCCAGTGCCTCTCGCTCTTTTCATCTCATGTCAATTACATTCCACACTGACTATCCCCCATTTATTTTGTTTCCATGCAGCACTGAAATCCTTTTTTTCCCTTTTGCACTGGGGACGCTGCCAGTTGCCTTCTCTCCGATCCCCCTTTCAAGTCAATACCAACAAGAAACTAAACCTTGTGCAGCAGCTCCTTTTAAACTTTCCCCCAATGTTTTAATTTTTTTTTAAAATTCTGAAATCATATTGCTAGACTCATGTCACCAATGTTCCCTCTAAGCTGTGGAGTCCTGGTGAGCAAAAATTCTACTTTGTGAGTTACTGGCATCAAAGTTGTGAACAAGTGATTTGGCTACTGCATAAATTAGTTTGCTCTGGAGCCATCCATCCTGAGCTAAGACAAAAATGTGTGAGCCGGAGGCTAAAAAACTGTGAGCCAGCTCACACTAACTCAGCTTAGAGGGAACACTGCATGTCACTTGTAAAAAAAAAATTTTTTTTTAATTTAAAATGACAGGGGAAATTGAGCTTGTCCACCAATGAAGGGGGGAGGATGGCTGAAGGTGTAGAGTAGGCAGAATGACCTCGATGTGGGCGGGGAGTGACCGAGGGGCAGCAAAAGGACAGAGGGGAAATCTGAAGGAATCTGTATGCTTTTGAATTACCTTTGACTTAGAAGTGAAACAAGGGGTAAATCGGCACAAAAACACTTTCAGAAAACCCGGGGAAACAGCAACCAGAAAGTGAGTTGAACGCTGAAGGGGAAAGAATCAATGCAGAACAACAAAGAAAACCCAACGGACATGCATGGTGAAAGCGAGGGAAAACACCCGTGCATAACAGGCCCAAGGGAAGACAGGAACTGTAGACTGCTACCAGACTCTCAAGCTGGACCCTCTGCTTTGTCTTGTTGTAGACTAAGCACGACAGACCTCCTCAGAGATCAGTGCCAAAAGAAATGGAGAGATTTTGCCGCACAGAACCAAAGGCAGCTCCTGTGGAAGAGATAAGAAAATTATGAATTGGAAAAACAGGCTATTTGGGGGGGGGGAATCTTTGCTGCCCATCCTAAGGAGACTCAGGACTACAAGAATATTGCAGTTCTCTGCAAATCTGGAACTGGGGCACCAGCTGGACAGTATCAGTTTTAATTAATGTTTTAAAAGAAAAAATTAGGTCCCTGCCACACGGCAGTAAAAACACCAGCCCAAGTGCGGCTAATTAGAGCCGCACCAAAATAGAGACGCCGCAGCGGGATCCCACGGATCCCCTGAGCCGCGGCGCCGTTGCTCCCCGGCACGATCAGATGCCGGGGAGGAAGACGGTCGGGAGAGGGAGGCTGCCGAACTGTGCATGTCTGAGCATGTGCAGTTCGGCCAGGAGCCGGGGATGCGCCGGCGAAAGGACGCGCCGGCGATCCCATGGCCGGCCTTGATGCGGCCGTCCCAGAAGAACCACCTCGGTAGGTGGTTCATTTTTGCTCCGTGTTTTGGGCGGAAGGGCCGGATCGGGGATGGGTGCGCAACGCTTCCCAGATGTTGCGATGGGATCGCGCCCGTTTGCTCCGCCCCCGATCCATCCCTCTCCCGGCTCAAACCCTCTTGTATGACCGGGGCCTTAATTGTTTTTTAAAAAGAATACAAGTTTCTAATTATGTGTATGCAAAAAGAGCCTTGGGTGTATGGGTAATACCTAGTGGAATTCCCAGACACGTTGAATCCCAACAGCAATGCCCTTGCCAAAGTTTATTTATTTATTTATTGTTTATATTAATTTCCCGCCTTTCCAGGTATCTGGCTCAAGGGGGCTAACAGCATTAAAATGGCATAAACAACCAAGTTAAAACAATGAACTAATACCATACCCGTTAAAACAACACCAGTCCGAAAAAGTCTAGCATGGTGGCAAAAGTGCTGGAGGGTGCCCTAGACCTTCCTTCACCCCTACTCAGCCAGAATCAGGAAAACATGCCGCTTCAAACAGAAATTAGAAGGAGCGCAACATCAGACTGCCTGCAACGTCTCAGTCTTGTCTTCTCAGCACCCTTCCTTTGGGTTCGAGATCTGCGGCGCTATTCACTTACTGTCCCCTTGTGGATCCAGGGTACTTTCCTTCTGTAAACTGAAGGAGTTGGGGCTCTCCATGTTCTCGTAGGAATCAGCATCTGTGGGAGGCACTTGGTCAGAGATGGACCCAACCCTCCATCCCAACGCCTTAAGCATATTTTACAGGGAGTGTTGCCAATCTCCAGGGGGCAGCTGGAGCTCTCCTGAAATTACAGTTCATCTCCAGACTACAGAGGTCAGCTCCCCTGCAGGAAGTGGCCGTTTGAGAGCGTGGCATCACATCCCTGCAGAGTTCACGGGTCTGATGGGTAGGTTTCCGTGGTGTGCAAGCATCCCCTGTGGGATTTCGACCCAGAGAACTCTGGAGTGTTGGCACTCACCCTCCTCATTGCTTGTATGGAGACCTTTGCTGGGGGTGGGGCTCAGGGTTCCGTTCATCTCTTCATAGGACTGGGAACCTGAGGGGAAGCAGAAGCATCTCAGAGAGAGCTGGGTCAAGAGTTAACTTAGACTAAGCACTCTAGGGGAGAGGGTATCTGGTAGGGTTGCCACCTTCCAGGGGGTGGCTGGGGATCTCCTGCTATTACAAGTGATCTCCAGGCCACAGAGATCAGTTCCCCTGGAGAAAATGGCTGCTTTGGAGGGTGGACTCTATGGCATTGGACCCCACTCAGATCCCTGTCCTCCCCAAACCCTGCCTTCCTCTGGCTCCACCCCCGAAATCTCCAGGTGTTTCACAGTCTGGAGCTGGCAGCAACCCTAGTTCTCAAAAATGATGGTCATAGTCACAGAACAGATCGAAAAAAGAAGAAACGGTGAGGTAACTGTGCTAGAGAATATTTAAATAACAATCACAAAATTTATACAAAAATGTGTACAAAAAATCTACATATATAAATGCACAAGGCAGTTGAAAATGGTGTAATGACAATGATCTCCAGAATGTTCTATCATTTCGATACTATTCTTCTGCCGAATGTGGATGAAAGAAGCAACTCTTGGTCTGTTATTTCGACAGGTACGTATCAAAAAGTTCAATAATATTCACCAATGTATCATAACATAGTTGCAAGAGATTCTCTGAAAGAATGTTCCTAGGGCAAAGTGCTTGTATAATGCCCTAACCCTAGTTCTCAGCCAAAGGCAGGGCCTTTGCTGCACTCGGAATAAACGGGTAATTCCTAACAGACATCAAGGTGCGAAGCAATCTAGATGCCTACCGGACCGCTTTAGTGCTGTGGTTTGGATGCCTGACTTGGATCTGGTTATTTCTTGGCCGCCTCAAAACTTCCTTTCTGTCCCTGCTTTTCCCCAGCAGTTCCCCAGATCTTGTTTCAACCCTGTTTAGCTGCTGTTGTTTTCAACCTGCAGACTTGCGTATGCACTGGGTTGGATGCCACGTTGCGCTGGCAGAGGGAGAGCACAGAACTCCACGCCCCCCCTCCCCCCAAACCCGGAAAAATGTATTGCTCAGGAGCGGGGCGGGGGGATGATCCCCATACACTAACGGCCACGCAGGTTGGGCAGCTGCGGCGGGGAAGGGGAACCCAGCGAAACCGCTCCTTTGCTAGCTCTTCGGTGAGCGGGGCACTGCTGCCCACCATAGGCAGCCGCCCAAACGGGCAGGGCTTTTCGTACCCACCCCCGGGACTTGAAAGTGCTCCAGGGGGCGGGGACGGTGGGGGAAATCCCAGCCCACAGACCGCAAGCCGTTGGTCCCGGGCAGTTTTCTTTCTTTTCTTTTTTATTAATGTTTGTAGGAGGGTGGGTTTTTTTTAAAAAAAATGTTATGTGGTACACGATCTAGCACCTTCGCGAGTACCTGCTAGAGACACCCGCGCTACCTCTGCGTACATCTACAAAGAGGTTAATTTTTTTCCCCCCATTATCTGCTCGGAAGAACGTTTTTGACAAGATCCGCCTACAGTTCCCCCACTAGGCTTCGCCGGAGAATAAGCCAGCCTTGCAACTGGCCTGTGATCTCTTGCGGTCTTCGAGAAGCCCGCCCCCGAGTAGTTTGCGGCATCCAAAAAGCTGCCCAGCCCATAGAAACCAGCTGTTGCCCGGTGGGAAAGAGGGAAGCCGATCACTGACTTGTCGCTTTGACTGCAAGCGAATTCTATTGTTACAGCGCATGCACGCGCGCGCTCACAAAAAGCGAGAGGCGCCAGTGGAGTCACGTCGGGATCACGGTCGGAAAAACGAAAAGGGAAAGTGCAGAGTGAAAATGGCGGTGCGGCATCCCCGTTCCCAGCGTGGGCAAAGTCTAAGGTTGTTAGCGTCCAGGTGAGCTGCAGTTGACAGAGATCAGCTCGCCTGGAGAAAATGGCTCGCTTCGAAGGGTAGACTCTGTGTCATTGTACCATGTTGAGGCCCCTCCCGTCAAGGGTGTAGACTTTCCAATTTCCCGGGGGGGGCTGGGGCTGGGCCAGAGGCATTGCTTTGCTAGGAGCAAGGGTGGCTCCCGGGGGAGGCTGAGCAGCTTCCTGAAAATTTCGGCGGGGGCTGAAGCCCCGCCGCCCCCACGAAGATTACGCCTATGAGCACCGCAACCCTAGAGTCGGATTCAATGGACCCACCCCCAAAGTCTCCAGGTATTTTCCAACCCAGACCTGGCAACCCCAGCTAAATCAGGAGCTGCACTGGAAGGGAAAAGACAGTTGAGGCCTGCCATCTGGAAGGCGTCCAATCTGATATTCTCCCTGATAGGCTAGCTTTCTAGGGGCACTGTTTTTGTTTTAATGGAGGGAAGGGAGCATTTGGTCACGGGATCCCCACACCTGTGTTCTGAAGCACTGGGGACCTGGGACCAATGTTCCCTCTAAGCTGTGGAGTCTTGTGAGCAAACATTCTACTTTGTGAGCGATTTGGCTGCTGCATACATTAGTTTGCTCTGGAGCCCTCCTTCCTGAGCCAAGGCAAAAATGTGTGAGCCAGGGGCTAAAAAACAGTGAGCTAGCTCACACTAATTCAGCTTAGCGGGAGCCCTGAATGGGACCAATAATCCCTCTAAGCTACAGAGTCTTGTGAGCAAAAATTCTACCTTGTGAGCTACTGGCGTTAAAGTTGTGAGCGAGCGATTTGGCTACTGCATAAATTAGCTAGCTCTGGAGCCATCCTTCCTGAGCTAAGATGAAAACGTGTGAGCCGGAGGCTAGAGGGAACACTGCCTGGGACAGTTTAAGCACATGCCCAGTTACTTATTTACACCACAACTGATTCTGTGGCGGCTCTGACAGCTACAGCATTGACTGGCTGGCTCTAGATCAGAAATTCCACATAACTGGAGTAGGGTGTGTGTGTGTGTGTGAAGAGATTGGATTTATACCCCACCCTTTGCTACCCAAAGGAGTCTCAGAGCAGCTTACAGTCTCCTTTCCCTTCCCCTCCCCACAACAGGCACCCTGTGAGGTAGGTGGAGCTGAGAGAGCTCTTTCAAGGACTGCTCTTGAGATAACAGCTCAGAGAGAACTTGTGACTGACCCAAGGTCGCACCCGAAGCTGCAAGTGGAGGAGTGGGGCATCAAACCCGGTTCTCTCAGATTAGAGTCCACGCTCTTAACCACTGCACCAAAATTTCTCTTTTTTTGTACATTTTCAGAAAGCAACAACTGGCTTCAATTTATATATACATTTCCTTCTGGATGTCATATCATAGTAGTAGGAATAAGGCGCAGGCCCCATATTTAGATGTTCTGGAGTCCCGCAAACTCAGAAGGGCTTACACTTTGGCTAGATGCTCTGCCTTACCTTCTGCAGTTCTTGAGGGCAAATTTAAAAAATTACCCCGAACAGAGAGGTTATGTATGTGCGCGTTGGGGGAGATCGAATCTCAGGAGCATGTATTCTTAAGGTGCCCGTTATTTGAAGAGGCGCGCACAAAACTCATTGAGCCTTTTTTGGCAGGCACTTCTGATCAGGATAAGATGGAAAACTTGTTTTTTAACCTTGAACATACAGCGCTCCATCAGATTGCGAAATTTTGCTCCTTGGTTATAAAAGCTCATCAGTGCCCTGGTTGTCACTCGGGTTAGGACTGTTTGATTTTAACTTTTACTGTTTCCAAGTCATCTTAGTTCTTTTCCTTTTATCGTGTTTTATTGTAATCTTAAATTTGGTTTTAGCGACCAAAATGATTGTATAATGTTATTTTTTAGTACCTAGTTGCACTTTGGAAATTTTACTATTAGGCCACTGTAGTTTATTTGTATTTCTATGGTTTTATATTGCTGGCTAGGTGCCGTAACAATAAAATTCATTCATGTGCTTCAATATGGTCTAGTACAGGTGTCCCCCAATGTTTGTGGAGCTTGTGGGCACCTTTGGAATGAACACAAAATGGCCACGGCAGGAGGTGGAGACAGCAACTGAATGTCAGGGAGTGAGCTCATGCACAGTTCTAATAATACGTATTCAACTTTTCTGGCAGATAAGTCTGTTAAATGGGTGGGGAGAAAGGAAATTGTACTCACACACACACACACATACAGGAAGCCCAACTGCAGGAGAGAAGAGGGGTAATTGAGAAACAACCCACTGGGGAAGGGAAGTGAGAGAGAATGAAACCAATACTGTTGTGGCAGCTGCTGCTGAAACAACTTTTTAAAAAATCTGCACAGCCAGCCAGGTCTCCCAACGGCCAATCAAAAGCCCTGCTGGGCAAGCGCACCCCTCCTGACCCCGCCTGCTTTCTAAAAACACTTGGCGGGGGCCAGGAAAGGTGCCGGCGGGCACCGCGTTGGGGACTCCTAGTCTGATTTCAGAAACAGACCATGATTAACTCTGAGCTCCCTTCAAGATCCAAAGAACCAAGCTGTGTCTTACAATTACCTGTCGAGGCCTCGCTGCCCCCATCCTGCTTGTCCACTGGGGGGTCCAGAGCCAGCTGCAAGCGCAAACCTAGAGGCGGAGATCAGCACAGGTGGGCGCCGGAGGCCAGCGCCATTTCAGGTTGCATCCCAAAGAAACAATGAGGAGATCACATCATATCCTTGTATTCATCATGACTATGTTCCACTGGGGGAGGGAGACAGATGACTCTCCCCGGGGAGGGAGTTCCAGAGCTTGGGCACGACGACTGAGAAGTTGCCACCCATCCAGCCTCGGATGGCAGGGACCGCTGACGCGGGGGCTTGGAGTGGTCAGGTAGGTTCATGTTGAACCTGTTCGAGCCAATCCTTTGTTGACATTGCTAAGCCCACCTTATCCTGCCACCTCTTAGAGCAGTCTCTTGGCTACTGGGGATTAAGTAGGCCTTTGCTCAGCATGGAATGATGGAGTGATAGTATGTCATATTTGGAAGTCTCAGGACCGAGGCTCTGTTGAATTTCCCTTCCCTTGGTCCCTATCCAATACCTGCTATAAGTCGTGCAGCACCAGGACTCAGAGAGCTCTCCTCTTCCACGTTTTCATAGTTGTCACCATCTGTTGGGAAACACAGGTAGATGTGACCACCACTAACTGGACTGGACTGCTCTGGAGAGTGTCTCCGTTTTACTGAGGAAGTTGTTGCTCCGAGCAATGCCTTCAAACCCCCATGAAAGCAGTTTCTCAAGGTAGTGGCCGTATTTGCATAGAAAGGCAAAGGAAGAATTATGCTCCTGTGGCAATTTGCTGATGTCAACAGAGCCATTGTTTCTGTATGCAAAGTTCTTACCAGGAAAAGCGACCCTGGTAACAGTTTGCAATCTGCACTAGCACTGCATCAGGGAAGGGGCGTCACCAAGGCAATGATATTATTTTCCACAACCTGGTGCAAGGAAAATGTAAGTGGTGGTTCCACGTTGCACTTCATATGACGCTGTATTTCCTATAAAAATCTGCCAGTGCAGAGCTCTATGGGCAAGATCCTACTTTATATTTACTCAGAAGCAGGGCTATTTTTGGGCAGGAACGCACAGGAACGGAGTTCCGGCTGGCTCCCAAGTTGGCCACGCCCAACAGGAACTCATTAGCATAATAGGCCACACCCAACAGCAGGAACTCATTAGGATTGGCTACATCAGGGGTGTGTGGCCTAACATGCAAAGGAGTTCCTGCTACAAAAAAGCCCTGGGTTTTGACAACAGACAAGGTAAACAGAATAACAAGCAAAAGGTGGGTGTGGCTGGATGACCCCACTTCTGGTAACATGGGGGTGCGGCCTAATGTGCTAATGAGCTGTGCTGTCAGGGGTGCGGCCTAATATGCTAATGAGTTCCTACCGTTGGGTGTGGCCTATTATGCTAATTAGTTCCTGCTGGGCTTTTTCTACAAAAAGAGCCCTGCGAGAAGAATGCCTCATTTAGCACATGTTATGTTTCTCCCAAAAACTTTCATCTTATTCTCTGCCTCCTCTTTTAAAGGGACTTCATCCTGGCTTCTTTATTACTGGCTTCTTATTAACCTGCATGCTTCTGGCATTTTTGAACTACCCCTAAATGTCTCAGTTGGTATTCTCTGTTCTGTTTCATTTTCAGGATCACAGTCATGCAATTGCGATAATGATGATAATAACGAGGCGCTTTGGCTGCAAAGAGTAATCACAACACCTCCCAGTGTGCAGAGAATAGGAACTGACTAATTAAAGGCTGGTTTTAAAAAGCAGCAGACAGGGGAATTGACAAGAAGTATCTAATTAAGAAGCCAAGAAGAAGAAGCTTCTTTAGAAGAAGGGGCATGGAGGAAAATTTAAAGGTACAGTAGCCCTGAAAGGCCTGATTAGTGCTTTGCCAGGCCACATTTGACAGACTAGTGTGGCAGTTGCATTTTAAGTTTTAAAAAATAACCACTAGCCCTGAAAAGGGGGGGGGGGCAAGAAGCCACTGGAATGTAGTGGGATGTAATGTCTTCTGGATTCTCTATAAAAATTGATGTGTGTCCCGACTGAACCACTAGAGTGGAAGCAACCAAGAGCAGGATACACAGATTCTCAAGGGAAGCTGTTGTTACAATCCTGAAATTAATAAGTATACTGGATTTATCTGTTAATTTTAAAAATACAAAGACAATTTTCCTTGAGAAAG